CTGCTCCTGTTCTCAGACTGGAGGACAGAGCCGGGTCAGTGCTGGCATCAGCGTTCACGCATGTAGGAGGGGAGCCCTGGGGGACCCCGCTGCGGACAGGTGCTGTTTTGTCTGCACACACCAGCTCTTCTCCCTGGCAGCTGCTGGGTTTGCTCTGGGAGACCAGCCCTCCCCACCCACCCTCCATGAGGCTTGGGCCAAGCTGGCCCCACCCCTGGACATGTCTCAGGACTGGCCACTCAGAGTGGGGGCCATTGTGGGTACACAGGCTGGCAGTAAGTGTGGGCCCCCGGGAGCCTTGCTGGAATAATGAAGAGGCCCTGTCTCTCTTGGGAGATGGTTGACCTGGGCCTTCTTTTATTTTTGTTAGAGACAGACTCTTGCTATACTGCCCAGGCTGGAGGGCAGTGGCTATTCACAGGCGCGATCCCACTACTGATCAGCACGGGAGTTTTCACCTGCTGTGTTTCCGACCTGGGCCGGTTCACCCTCCTTAGGCAGCCTGGTGGTCCCCCACTCCCGGGAGGTCACCATATTGATGCCGCACATAGTGTGGACACCCGATCGGTATAGCGCACTACAGCCCAGAACTCCTGGGCTCAAGAGATCCTCCAGCCTCAGCCTCCCGAGTAGCTGGGACTACAGGCACGCACCACCGCGCCGGGTTGAACTGGACCTTCTTTCTCCCAAGGGTCGGTTGAAGTGGAAAAACCTTTGTAGTTGCTGGGACCCCTCTGTGAAATCCTGCTCAAGAACGAGAAAAAACGGCTGGGCACAGCGTAATGCTGGTAATCCCAGCACTCTGGGATGCTAAGGCAAAGTGCGACAATCGCTTCAGCCAGGAGTTCAAGACTAGCCTGGCCAACATGGTGAAACCCCATCTCTAGTTAAAAAAAAAACATATGCCGGGCGAGGTGGCTCATGCCTGTAATCCCAGCACTTTGGGAGGCCAAGATGGGCGGATCACCTGAGGTCAGGAGTTCGAGACCAATCTGACCAACATGATGAAACCTCGTATCTACTAAAAATACAAAAGTTAGCCAGGTGTGGTGGCAGCGTCCGTAATCCCAGCTAGTCGGGAGGCTGAGGCAGGAGAATGGCTTCAGCCAGGGAGGCAGAGGTTGCCGTGAGCTAAGATGGTGTCACTGCACTCCAGCCTCAGTGACAGAGTGACTCTGCCTAAAAAAAAAAAAAAAAAAAGGCGGAAGATGCGTGGGGGAGGGGGAGGGAACAAGCCCAAAGTTGGGAAGGGTGGGGTGGGGAGAGAATCAGAGAGACACAGACAGAGACAGAGATGAGAGCGAGTCTGTGCAGTGGACTCCTGGGGGGAGTTTCTGGAACCCTGGACCCCGGCCCCACTCCTGGGGGTGCAGGCTTTGGTGTCCTCATGGGATCTCATGTCAACCCAGATTGAGAGGTGACCACGAAGCTGCCTTGCCGTGGGTTTGGCCAAGACAAACGAGAAATCAGCCAAATTGCCAGGCGGCAGCACTGCCTGCCTGCCTCCCTCCCTTCCTCCCTCCCTCTCTCCCTCTTTCTCTCAAATGCATGTTACCACGCAGGTGACCTTCCCCACGCCCTGCTGGCCCACTTTACAGGTGAGGAAGGTAAGGTACAGGAAACTTGGTTTGCCTCCCCACTTTCAGAGGGTCCCATATCCACACGGTAGTGCCTGGGTAGGGTCCCGGTTTCTCTCGACAGCCCAGAGTGTGTGGCCTGTCCCCGGAGGGGGTGGGATCCATGCTAGGCATAGCTGACTGTCACTCCCTCTCGCCACCCCTCAATTGTCATCTGGTTTCCCAGTGGGGTCCCCTTCCAGGGCTCTAGTTCACACCAAACCCCATGTCTTCCAATCGAGACCTTCACACCCTTACAGTGCCCTTGCAAGAAGTGGCAAAGGAAGGGGGGAGCAGGGGATGGATTGGGAAGACGAGTTTTCACGCCCATGGGCGGTGGCCATGATGTCCCTGGGAGCAGGGCGTCCACTGTCCCGTACAGCACCCAGACACCCCCCTCCCCAGCATCGGGCTCACGGGCAAGAGCGTCTCCAATCAGCCCATTTCTCTCCCTCCGGTCTGCACTGTGACCTGCCTGCAGCAAGCCCCTCTCTCTCACTTGCAGCCTGCCACAGCCTTCTCAGCTGCTCTCCCGATTCACGCGGGGTCCTGTATTCTCTCCCCCCATTCATTTTCCAGCACTCCAGCTAGATGGACTTCACAAAACACAAATCTGATCCTCCCCACGCTGGCCCCAAGCTTTGTAAAGCCTTCTCAGGAGCAAGACGACACCCCTTCCTTGCTGACGAGGACGTCGCTGCCTTCACTACCTTTGCTGAAACACATCTCATCACCTTCCTCCTCTCGTCTCTACCCCACTATGGCTGTGTGACCCCAGGTGTACAGCTCAGCCTCTCCTGACTTCATGTTCTTCACAAAGAATAGGGATTATAGGCTGCGCGTGGCAGCTCACGCCTGTAATCCCAGCACTGTGGAAAGCTGAGGCAGGCAGATCACCTGACGTCAGGAGTTTGAGACCAGCCTGACCAACATGGAGAAACCCTGTCTCTGCTAAAAATACAAAAATTAGCCCGCCATGGTGGCGCACACCTGTACTCCCAGCTACTCGGGAGGCTGAGGCAGGAAGATCACTTAAACTCAGAGGGTGGAGGTTTCAGTGAGCTGAGATCGCGCCACTGCACTCCAGCGTGCACATAACAAAGTGAGACTCTGTCTCAAAAAAAAAAAAAAAAAAAAAAAGAATAGGGATTATAGTAAAATGTGCCCTGATCGTGGTAACTCAGCCCATGGTAACATGATCACATCTGGAATCGAACCCTCTACTAAACGCTTCATGAACTCCACGCCACGGACTCCTCCCATCATCCCTGTGAGCCGTGAGATCTAAACACCAGTTCCCAGAGTGGGAAGCCGAGGTCTGAGAGCCTCAGCAACCTGCAAGGGAAGGCTCAGACTCTAAGCCCTGGCCAGGCAAAGGCCAAGTCCTCGCACGCCAGGACAGCCAGGCGCAACGCTCCAGGATTCCTCTCCATCTGCTAGGCTTTTCCTGGGCCTTGAGTGCATCATGAATAATTCACCTATTTTTTTCCTTTTTTTTTTTTTTTGAGATGGACTCTTGCTGTGTTGCCCAGGATGGAGTGCAATGGTGTGAACTCGGCTCACTGAAACCTCCGCCTCCCGGATTCAAGCAATTCTCCTGCCTCAGCCTCCTGAGTAGCTGGGATTACAAGCACGCGCCACCACCCCTGGTTAATTTTTTGTATTTTTGGTAGAGACGGGGTTTCTCCATTTTGGTCAGGCTGGTCTCGAACTCCCGATCTCAGGTGATCCACCTGCCTAAGCCTCCCGAAGTGCTAGGATTACAGGTGTGAGCCACCATGCTCGGCCAATTTTTCTAATCTTTTTGGATCTGGTCTTCATGTTTAAAAAAGACAGGCCCTAGCTACATACCAGCTACCAGGAAAAAAAAAAAAAAAAAAAGACAGGCCCGACCTTCCCATCAGTACCTTTCCCAGCGCCGCCCTTCTGTGGCTCCTCCTTGGAGTGTTTGTAAGGTACTTTTGTTGTGAGGTAACCCAGCCGCCAGCCTCAGTGGGCCTCATTCTGGAGACTTTGACTCGGTAAGGTTGCCCGTGGTCGCACAGCCCGTGACTGCACTGAGTCCTGTTTTTATTATTGGCAAAAGGGGTCAGGCAGGAAATTCAAGGTAAAGCTTTTTCTTTTCCCAGTGAAAATCGCTCCCTTGCCCTGGGTTTGGGAGATCAAAGGCATTCTCGCTCATTGCAAATAATTAGGAAAACAGAGGCGAGTATAAAGAAGAAATGAAAGGCAATGCGGTCCTAGTTAAACAGAGGAAGATAACCAGGAATGACATTTCCAGGAATTGCCCTATATTTTGGGAATTTTTTCCTATGATTACCCACAAACGCACATTTGCACATTTATTCTACATAAAATATAACGTGTGCACATTCGATGCCATCATTTTTTTTTTTTTTTTTTTTTTTTTGAGATGGAGTCTCACTCTGTTGCCCAGGCTGGAGTACAATGGCAAGATCTCGGCTCACTGCAATCTCTGCCTCCTGGACTCAAGTGATTCTCCTGCGTCAGCCTCCCAAGTAGCTGGAATTACAGGAGTGCGCCACCACATCTAAGTAATTTTCATATTTTTAGTAGAGACGGGTTTTCACCATGTTGGCTAGGCTAGTCTCGAACCTGTGACCTTCAGTGATCAGCCCGCCTTGGCTTCCCAAAGTGCTAGGATTACCGGCGTGACCACGGCGCCCGGCCGCCATCACTTAGGTATGTGCTGCATGTAGGAAATATCTAAGACCATAATCACTGCTGTGTGTGCCACCCCCCGCGCGCGTGCACTCAGGCCCCTCTGGACGGACAGTGGGGACCCCTGACCACGTATATCTTTGGGAACACGCCTCCCAGCGCTCCGGAACCTCAGGGCAGGAGTCGTCGCAGCAGCAAGTAGGACCCGCTGGAGGCGCACAGCCCACCTGATTGATTTTAACTACAAGTCCCAGCAGCCCCTGGTGCGGGGACTGGACGCCGCGACCGGAGTCCGGAGAGACTACAAGTCCCGGCAGGCAGGATAAAGACGAAGGCACTACGAGTCCCCGAATGCATCGCTCTCAGCTTGCGCAGGGAACCCTGGGAGATGTAGTCTTTGAGGGAGCTAATGCCTATTCATTCCATCTCAAAGAAGATGCAAATTCTTCAGACAGTCCACTGAGGTGTTTTCTCAGGCAGGCCAGGCACGTGGGCGAAAAACGGGGGAAAAAAAGCCCTGGGAAGACGGTACCGTCCCGGAGGAAGCCAGCCTGCGCATGCTCAACGGGAGGCCGGGCGGGAAAAGCGCGCGTAGCGGGGCTCCACGCCCGCAGGCCCCGCCCCGGCCCCGACCCAGGGCCCGCGCGCCCAGTGAGCCTGCGCGGAGGGCGGGGGCCGAGCGTCGCGGGGAGGGGCTCGCGGCGCCTGCGCAGAGCGGCGGCTTCTCTCGCGAGGACGGACGCCATTATCGCATCTCCCCGACAAACACCACGAGAATTCCGCAGCCCACACGGTAATTGCAGCTCCCGCAGCCGGTCGCGCCTCCGCCTCCCCCTTCCCGCGGGGCGAGAGCGAGAGCGAGATCTCCGTCCTCCCTCCTCCTCCTCCTCCTCCTCCTCCCGCCCGCCGGGCCGCCCGCGCCGCAGCCCCGCCGCCGCCAACTGTCCGGGCCGGGCGAGCGCCCCCAGCTCCTCGCTCCCCGTCCCCGGCCGCGCCCCGGAAGAGGGGCTCCCGCTTCCTCGCTTCCGCACCCCCTGCCCCGCCGCGCCCCGACGTCCGTTGGGCCGCGGCTGCCGTCGCCCGGCCCGGGGGCCTCGAGCTCCCGATCTCTGCCTCGGGGCCGCGGCGGGGAGACTGGAAAGGCCTAGAACCGCGCCCGTGCTCCCCGGGGGACCGAGGTCCCCCTACGGGGTGGCTCCTGCCAGCCAGCCGTGAGCGACGGGCACCGTTTTTGTGCCGCCTCCTGGCTGTGGACAGGAGCCCCCGTAGCCCAGGACTTGCACACGCAAGCCTCCGGCGAGACAGCGAAACGGGCGATCTCAGGGCTGCCCAGAGCTCGGCGAGGACCCCAGCCCGTTCCCCGGGGCCCCCCCCCCAGCACCTGTGTGCGATTTCTGTGATGTAGCCCCTAAGAAAGGTGGCCGTTTGTTTTTTGTTTTTCCCTAGGCTGCAGAAAGTAGATGACATTCCATCCCCACTGTGTGAGCATATTGGAGACAGTGCCTTGCTAGAGAGGACTGTTGTTTTCCCCTGATGACATGGTAGGGATTGCCTTGCTCTTGGAGAAATACATCGTCCCTGAAGAACTGTGAGCAGGTGCAGCGAGTGTGGGCTTTGAATGGGAGCGAGCTTGCACCCTCCCCAGGGAGGGCCCGGGCCGCACAGTTGTTGATGTGGAACAGGTAATTGCTCTGTTTGGAGTTGCCTGTCTGCCCAGGAATGTACTCCCGGGCCTGATGGCGTTGGCGGAACTTGCACTACAATAACCGAAAAGAGGAGGCAGTCTTAGGGTACACTTTTAGCTGGAAGTTCTTAGGGGACAGAAAAATAGCTTGGAGTAGTGAGTGGTTCTGAGGAAGATCAGGAAACATCAAATAAAAACTAGATCTGGTCATTTAACACGCAGCTCGCAAATACCCAGTGCTAGAAGAAAACACCAAAACGAGGTACAATTCTGTATGTAGGTCCATTTCCCCTGCCTTGCAATTAAAATAAGAATATATTCTTGGGAAGCTGTAGCAAGTACTACTCGGCAGGGAGACCTCCACCCAGGCTGCGCCGAACGCAGCGAGAAGACACCCAGATAGAAGAGCACAGTGGGTCTGGCGGGGGCCAATAGCCTACGGAGCTGAGCGCCTCAGGAGGCTGACAGCATTCCAGGTTGAAGGCCCGCAGCAGACGCTGATCCATATATTAACAGGTGATTATTATTAAACAGGTGTTCTGTATTTACTTTTAACGCAAAAATATTCCAGGTAGGCAGTTGTTACCCACTTACTACTAATTGCAAACTGAAAGGTCCTCTCCACAAGGGAGCCACGGGGCCAGGGCAAACTTAATGTTTCTCAGCAATGTTGGATTCTGTCATCATTGGTTTTAATAGTTCTGCTTTCTGGAGACAGGATTTAACTGTCCGTGAGGCTGGAATGCAGTGTGGTGATCTTGGCTCACTGCAGCCTCAACCTCCCTGGCTCAAGTGATCCTCCCACCACAGCCTCCCGAGTATCTGGGACCACAGGTGCCACCACACCTGGCTAATTTTTGTATTTGTAGTATAGAGGGGGTTTCGCCTTGTTTCCCAGGCTGTGGCTTTAATGTTTTTAAAAAAAGAGCTTCAGGCTTTGGGGGCAGCTCCACATCTTGGCTCCTTCTCTGTGACCAGGAGACAGAGGCTGCCTCCATTCTGTAGATGAGGTGACCAGGCTGCAGATGCACAGAGCCAGGGCTCCAGTTTAGTCTAAGCCGATGTTCTAAAAAACAAAGCCCATCGATTCAGTATTTTAATCAACATAGTGTACACAACAGCAATTGTCAGTGGAAGATTTACCATGAAAAGTAGTGGTCCCCTGCCCCACCTCCCAGCCCCATTCTTCAAAGCGTGGTTTCCTGAGGTCATTCTCCATAGCTCTAAGTGAGCTGGTCTTTTTGTTTTTGAGGTAGGATCTCCCTGTGTTCCACAGACTACTCAGCTGCAGTGCACTCAGCCTCTTTAGGGGTTGCTGCTGCAGGCACGAGCTGCCGCAACTGTTGCCCAGGCGTGGGCTTTAACCTGCCCTTTAAGCTGATACTTTTTTTACTCAGCCTTGACTTTGTGTTATGATGGGTGACAGAGCCCTTCTGTCACATGCCACCTCTTCCATCTCATGTACGCTATGTTCAGGATAGGGTCAGGTCCCCTCCTTCTTCAGCCTCTCAGCTTTTTCTAATCCTGATGGGTTATTCTTCAGCTTGCCCACGAGCCAACGTGATAATTTCCCTTCTATGGCTGGGTGTGTTCAGGACTCCATGTTTTCATGTCAGCTTTCATTTCAACATGAACCTCTGCCAGGTGCTCTTCCTGCTTGTGGAGAACCTTCCTCCCTCCCTGAATCCTTTCTGATCGTCTGTTTGGTGTTCATGGCATTTTACCATGTGCTGAAGTATGGATTCCTACTCCCTTGGATGCTTTCGGGTCTGGTCTTTGGTGTTCGTGGCGTTTTACCATGTGTTCAAGTGTGTGGATTCCCACTCTTGGTATTCTGACTCTGGTGGCCTGTCCTTCAGCTCTGGGAAGCTCACTTGTCGTGTCTGAGAAGGTCTTCCTCTCCTGTTCTGCCCTTCTGTCTTAGGAGTTCCTGTTAATTTGTGATGGACGTTCCAGGTGGACCCCTGGAGTTGCATCTTTATTCTTCCTTCTCTGCCTTGTTTATTCTCATTTCTGGGAGAGGGCTTTAATGTATCTTCCGATCATGTCTGCAGTATTTATTTCCAGTCAGATTTTTAATTTCCAAGTGTGTATTTGTTTTGTTCCTTCTTCATAGGAGCTTATTGTTCTGCAGATGCCTCATCTCCCTGACTCTGAGGGAACTAACGAGGATTCTTTTCAGTTCTTCTTTGTTCTGATTTCTTGTTTCCTCTAATGTCACTTAAAAAAAGTGTTGGCTTCTTGCTTTGTATGGCAAGTCCTCCTGTAATACTGACAGTTACTGTTGTCTGAGGCAGGAGGAAGCTGGCGGAGAGCCCTGTGAGTTTCCCCTTGGGTGACTGGGAGCTTGTGTTGGCGGGACCTGGAGTGCCAACTTGCAGATATTTTCTCTGGGCTGTTCCGCTGCTTCTTCTTTTTTTTTTTCCGAGACGGAGTTTGGCTCTGTCGCCCAGGCTGGAGTACAGTGGCACGATCTTGGCTCACTGCAACCTCTGTCCCCCAGGGTTCAAGCGATTGTCTTGCCTCAGCCTCCTGAGTATCTGGGATCACAGGCACGCACCCCCACACCTGTCTATTTTTGTATTTTTAGCAGACATGGGGTTTCATCATGTTGGTCAGGCTGGTCTCAAACTCCTGACCTCGTGATCTGCCTTCCTTGGCCTCCCAAAGTGTTGGGATTACAGGCGTGAGCCACCGTGCCTGGCTGCCGTTACTTCTTTAGGAGGGCCCTTTTGCTGGCCAGGGAGTTAGTGCTTCTGTGTGGGACCCACCTGGCAGGTGTGGGTGTGGCCTGCCCGCAGGGCTCTGCGAGGCCTGGAGCCCCACGCCTGTGCCCCTGCTTTCCCTTTGCCCTGATCCAGTTCTTTGCATGTGTCGGGCATTTGTGAGGCCCTCTCCTGCCTGTGTTTTTTCTTGTGCGTTTACACCACTCTATTAAAGATCATGTTAATGGAGCGAGTGGAGGTCGCCCGTGCGGCCAGTCACTGCCTCGAGCCGGAGTTTTGAAGTCTGTTGTATTCACTCCACCTTTCTGCTTTCTTGTAGCCTTGGTAATTGCGCACGGCCAATCGGACGAGGTGCCAAGTGAGCATGCTGCAGCTGCCTCGGAATTGCAGTGTGGGTGGGTGGCTCTGGCCCTGTGGCCTTGGGCTGCCAGCACACCTGGGCATGGCCCGGCAGACCCGTGTGTTAGCAGAGACCCTGACTTGAGGCTCCTCACGGGGGCAGTGTGCCGCCGGCACCGTCTGCCTGGCTGGCTCCAGGGAGCACCTGCAGTGAAGCAGCGGCGACCGTACTGGGAGCATGTTCTGGGTGCACTGTAGCCGACTGGCACCTGGAAGTTGTGCGTAGTGAGGTGAGTGCCGTCTGCCAGAGCCTTGCTAGCAGAGCGGCCCAGCGGCCGGCAGCAGCCATCAGCATCGCTTGGGTGTTGGTGAGAAACAGACTTGAGGCCCCACCCGGGTTCTGATGCAGAATCAGGCTCTGCAGCTTGGTCAGCTGTTAGTTTTCAGGTAATTTTAGACTTTACAGAAAAGATGCAAAAGAATATTTCTGTGAGCCTCCCTGTTCTCTTCACCTGCTTCCCCTAACGCTGACGTCTTACATAACCAGCCATCCATGTCAACACCAGAAAGCACAGCATTACTGCCCTCATGACAGACCTTCCTCGAACCTCGGTTTTCCACCAGTGTCCTCTGGCTGTTTCCGGATCCCACCTCGGACCCTTGCTACGTTCGTGTGACTGCCACACCTCCTCAGTGTCCTTCTGTCTCTTATATTTACGTAGTCCCGAAGTATCTCCCCCAAGATCTTTATACATCACAAAGGGAAAAATAAAACAGTAGCCTCTCAGTGGAGAAACCCACAGCTACTGTGTGAAGCAAGCCATCAGGGCACCACCATCAACCAGAGGGTGTGACACCAAAGCCTGGTGAGACACGCCACCGCTCTAGCGGCATTGCCAGAAGTGCAGGATCCTTGTGAGAAAGTGCTGCACCCAAACGGAGGGGTGCTCACCAGGATACTGGCCAGTGCTTTTCAAAAGTGTCCAGTCGTGAGAAAATTTACCCAAACTGAGGGATGCTCGGCAAACCCTGGCCAGCACTGCTCCAAAGTGTCCAGGCCTTAAAAGACAGGGAGACTCAGAATTTGGTGCAGCCGGGTGACCAGGTGAAGTGCGCACCCTGGTCCACACGGAAGGGCTTCTCCCAGCCTTGATGGAGGTGAGGGAGTGGGGCTTGGGGGTACAGGTGCAGGTGCTGGGCGGTGTGCCTTAGTGGGCTTTCAGACCCCTAGGCTTGTCAGCGCCAGGGTTTGTGGTTATCTTCATTGAGTCTGTACAAATCCCCACGACTTCAGTTATACAATTAAGTGAATTATGTGACATGATGTTGCAAGGCTGACCTTAAAATGTCCATGTAACTCATGGTACCAGTTTAGCCGCTTAAATCTAGAGGAAATTAACATTTCTTCGTTTTGAGGCAAAGACTTCTGGGGGAAAGTAAATTTGAGGGTCTCAACAAGAATGCCTCAGATGAAAGCTTTAGAAAGTCTTCCCTGTACCTGAGGTAGTAGATAGACATCTGTGTTTTCGCATGAATGGTGGAGGTAAAAACGTGACCCCATGACTCGGTCAGCAGACGTGCCCTGAACCATCCGGAACTTCGGCGGCTGTGGGAAGGAGTTTTGGGAAGTTGAGGACACTATTGGGTGGAACCACGCTGTTGCCATTTGCTTTGAAAAAGCTATGCTTGTTTTGTGTGTGGGCTGCGCCTGGGGCCCCTGAGCCCCCGCAGGAGAGTGGGCTGAGCGATTGGGAGGTGGTCTTCCCAGCCTGCAGAGCCTTGCCCAGCTTTCTGCTCAGCCCCGTGCAGCCAGTGGGCTCGCTTGGGACTCCCCGTCTGTTGTACAAGACTCCACTCTGTCCGCCGCTTTGGAGGAGAGGATGTCTCCATCCTCAGGGAGGAGAGAAAACCCTCCCCCACCCTCTGTCTTGAG